TTCTGTTGATCTATAAGTACAGTAAGCACATTTTACAAACTGAAAAGAGCAGCTTACCTTCTCATTACTATTTTCTTAAAAAGTCAATATCATTATTGGCTTTTTCTGTTGATCTATAAGTACAGAAACTCAAATATGAGCTGAATATTTCCGCTCGTGTTAAAAAAAGTGAGAAACCAACAGAATTCCTTTGTTTTTCTGTTGGTTTCTCCCAATTTTTGAGTCACAAACCGGCTGAAAACACGTCTTTCCGCCCCCTGGAAAACGGGTCCCAGTTTCTCCGGCTGCAAAACAACCCGAGGGCTAAATCTATTGAGTGTTTCCAGCAGACGGGAGCCTTTTCGGGGACGTTTACGAGCAGGCCGGCAGCGTTTCCAGAGCTAATTACGGCCCCGTCAACATCAGGCCTTCTGCCTCACGCAGACTTCACAGAACCGGGAGTTGTGAAAGTGGAACTCGTGTTTAAGGTGTGACACAACGCTCCCAGACCGGGACAGGCCGGTCTGTACATCAGAACTGGACAGAAGGATCCTTAAATCATTAAATCAGGTTTCCAACGTTGGGCTGCTATGGCTGGAAGGATTCTACTAACGTCTAAGGACGTCTTTTTAGATTTTTTGTTCACGTTTTCTCTCCTGTTTGGTGCATTCAGCTGCAAAAGAATACACGACTATTGGCATATCAGCCATGTTTTAACCCTTTAAAGCCTGATCCAAGAATAAAACAAAACAGAAAATTACTTTTTCTTGGTTTGAAGTCTTTATTTGGCCTTTCAACCAAATATGGAAAAAGAAAAAACAGAAATACATTTTTTATATTAATAATTTATTACTATGCGATAAGTCAGGATTATTTTTTGTGTAGTCTTCTGCCCCCTGTTATCAGGTGTATCTGATTGTGTACAATAGGATTTTGAGCAAAGTTTGCACCATTAAATTATACAAAAGGTGTCAGACGCAAAACATTTCAGAAACCGTATGAATCAAATATGATACATTTGGCATTACAGGGTTAAAAGAATAATGATGAAGTTCAGAACTGTGGATAAATGAAAGGTAAAAGCCATGATTGTTTTTATAGAGCAGATTCAAGAACACTGGGTTTTTGTCTTTGTATATGTCTTTGTGTTAAACATTTAGTCTTATGAGCTCTTGTCTGCAAATCATTGCATAATTAGTCTTTAAAAGCAATAACAGATTTAAGCCTTTGACTCATTTGAGGCTTCCCACTGTTACATCTATGTAACTGTGATCAGTCGAATGTGTCCAAAGTGGTTCTGTATAAATTTAAATTATTTTGTTGCTGCCATCTCTAACCCTATAATGCCAAATGTGTCATATTTTATACGGTTTCTGAAGTCTTTTGGATCTGAGTCTTTCTGCATCATTCAGTGGTAAAAGCTTTGCTCAAACCCCTGTTGTACACATTCAGATATACCTGATAACAGCCAGTAGAAGACTACACCAACATATATTTTTGACTTATTGCACGCTAATTTGATCAAAATAATATCTGTTTTTTTTCTTCATATGTTGTTGAGGGGCCAAAGAAAGACTTCACACTAAAAAAATCCAATATTCTTACTATTTTTCTTGGATCAGGCTTTGAAGGGCTAAAAATCTCCGTTATTTGACATGTAAAAGACATCTTGGTGTGGCAGAGTGGACAATGCACTCGTTCATTTTCAAAGAAAAATTTGAAATAAAATAAAAATAAATCACTTTTTAGTTGTTTTCTCCTGAAGCAAAATGAAAAGCTTTTTCTGGAAACTGATTTAGACCGTTCTGTCCATTGTCTTTCCACCAAAAACCTGCATTTTGGGTTAACTGGACACTCCAAATCCAAATGAGTGTGGTTTATAGTCTATGGAGAACCGACTTCCTCTTGATAAAATGGGGGGATAATCTAGACCAGAGGGGTTTCCTGGACACCCACTATCTGAGCGGTTTGAGTGTGACCAACCTTTTGCATCTTTTCTGGGTGAACGTGCACGTATCTGTGCACGTATCTGCTCTTTAACTCATTGACTGCCAGCCATTTTCAGAACAGAGTCCCATACTGCCAGAGTTTTTTGAGCATTTTGACTGATTTTTCAAGAGCCACAGAATAGTTTGTGCTATGACTATGTAAACACCGAACACACCAAAAGAAAGAGTAGACTCTCTTCTTTCATCAGGAAAAAAAAATTTGTTTCTACCATATTCTGCTCTTCCTCGACTTGCGTCTCACCGGCGCCATGTTCTCTCATAGAACCGTTCCCTTTTTCTTATTTGCCTACAGTCTATGCTCATCTCCCATCAAAAGTGGCACTGCCCCCTACAGGGTCAATTTGTTACTACATACTCTGTCTAGAAGCCGATATTTACGGACAAGCTTTAGCAGATCGTCCCCCAGACACTCTCGTTGAAAAACATAAAAGACGTCTATAGACGTCTTTGGCAGCCAATTAGTTAATTAATTGTAGTATTTGGTTTTAGACACCTGGGGGTAGTGGTTCACACAGATAAGGGTGGACATAGGTAGGAAGTGGCACACACCTGAATGCACCTGGGTAGTGGGCACATGGTTTTTTACCAGCGCAAGAGATTTGTTTGCTCACCTGAAACAGCAATAAACCAGCCTCAAGGACAATTCTGCGTGGAACTTAAATAAATTTTCTTGCCTGAGTACGATACCTGCCCAGGGTGCCAGAAGTTGTCGTTTGTTTTATTTTAAGTTTAATTTAATTTTCGTTAAAAGTTTGTTTGAAGAAAATATACATTTTGCTCAGGCCTATTATTCTAAATTATCTAAACAAAGAGCAACATAATCTTTTGGCTAGGTCGGTTGTGTCAATTTAAGGGAAATCTAAAGAAACGGGAACTAAAAATAGACCCCAAAAAATTCCGCTTTTATTTATTAAATTTTTTTTAAACGCTAGTAACAGCTGACACTAACATTTGTTCCCAGGAAGAGACAGATACAGAACCAGGAAGCCACAGAGTTTGGGGACTTTGAGAGCTGAGAACCAGATGTCTGGTTTGTGTCTGTGGAGAAATGTTCAGAAAAACACCTTCCTAGTTCCCTAATGTCTTTGAGTGGATTTATCTATTCGACGTATAAACCAGAATTCCCCAGAAACATTCATTTCTCAGGGTGACTAAGCTTTATGTCCAGGTACAACCTTATATAATAGTCCAGAATCAGAATCAGAATCAGAATAAGGTTTATTGCCATGTAGGTTTTTGACTTACAAGGAATTTGCTTTGGTGTTTGGTGCAAAACACTTCTATGAGAAGCAAGGAAATACAATGTAGAAATAAAAATATAGAACAGGAAATATAAAACTAAACAGTACAATCTTTAAAAATATAGATCTGAGAATAGAAATATGGATATAAAGATATGGATATAAGACTCAAAGATACAATATTCAATATTAAATTACAAATATCAAAAGTATGTATACAGGTGTGAATGTACAAATGAACAATTGAAATGTGCAATGTCCAGTTGTGTCACGTCTGGGGGAATGTCTGGTGTCTCGTCATGTGTTGATTACCTATTGTGTTCACCTGGGGTTCCCCTCCCTCATGTGTTTAAATAGTCCTCGTTTCCCATGTCCTGTGCCAGTGCGTTTGCGTCTTTCGTCTCTCGTCTTTCGTCTCCCCACGTCATGTAAGGTTTTGATTATTTCCCATAGCCATGTTTTGCCACAGCCTTGCCACAGTTTTGTTAATCTTTATTTTGTTACTTTGCCATAGCCTCGTTTGACCACTGCCATGTTAATCTCGTTTGTACTTTTGCCACAGTCTTGTTTTGATACTTTGCCACAGTTTTGTTAACCTTGCTTTGTTACTTTGCTCATAGTTTTGCCACAGCCCTGTTTTTGAACCTGTTTTTGTTACAATAAACCCTGTTTTCTGCATCTCCGCGCCAGAGTCCTCCATCAAGATCCACCTTCCTGACAAGTTGACCACTCCCGTTTATCTCCACCAGCTTAATCACGCACAAAGCTTCCAGGACTCAAATTGCTCCTGTGTGACAAACAGACTGTTTAGGTCTCATTTTGGCTAATATCTGTGTTTTTTATTTGTCGAACGTCTCTCAGGCCAAGATCCCAGGTGTGGGGTTTGTGAAAATTCATGCCACCTGGAACGTTCTCTGTCGAGAGGCTGAACTCATGAAGCTAAAAATGCCCACCAAGAAAGTAAGTCCCACGATCTGCCCCCATCTTTGTCCTGCTGGAAACTGAAAGTGCTCCATCTATTTGAAGCTCTGGCTTTGGAGTTTCACACCTAGTTTGGTCCTAGTTTAGACCTCTTCTGCCTTTGTAGTGATTTTGTTTTTAATAATATCTTGGCCTTGTTCCCTCTCACTGAAGAGAGCTTTGCCCTGAACAATAACGTTTTGTAGCCTGTTGATTTTCTCTTCTATGGAGAACTGATCAATAAAGACTTGGGCAAAGTAAATCCTGCATCTGCGTCTGGTCCAGAACTGGTGTGATATCATGATCTAAAACACACCAATAATACTATTAGCCCTATAATGTCAAATGTATCATATTTGATTCATACGGTTTCTGAAATGTTTTGCGTCGGACACCTTTTGCATAATTTAATGGTAAAAACTTTGCTCAAAATCCTATTGTACACAATCAGATACACCTGATAACATGGGGCAGAAGACTACACAAAAAATAATCTTGACTTATCACATAGTAATAAATTATTAATATTAAAAAAGAATTTCTGTTTTTTCTTTTTAGATATTTAGTTAAAAGGCCAAATAAGGAATTCAAACAAAAAAAAAGTAATTTTTCTGTTTTTGTTTTATTCTTGGATCAGGCTTTAAAGGGTTAGACAATATATATGTTTGTAGAGATAGTTTGGTCACTTTTCTACTTCCCTGATGGGCACTCAGCTATAAAAGTACATTGTTTATACTGTCAGTAGTTGAGAAGAAGCCTGGCTCAGGAAAACCTGCAACTTTCTCTGGTTATTATAGATGATTCTAACTGAGGTACAAAGGTATATACTTATTAAATTATTTCCGCTACTGTAAATATTTACACATTTTAATCAGGCAACCATGAATCTGTGAATTTTGAGCTAACTTCTGTCTCAAAGTCTGATTTATTTCCAATTCCAGGTGTATGAAGTCAAACAGTCGAGCAGCGTAGTGAAGAAGATCAGCTCCCTGGTCAACAAAGTCCTGGAGCCACTTCACCCTCACGTGGAAGAGCATCAGCCCAAGAACATCAAACACCTTTCACACACCTTCTCCCGGGAAAAACAACACCTGTGAGCTCTCACCAGACCTGTTTGGGACTTTTAGTCTCACTTGAGAAGGGAAGATCTAAAGAAAGTTTTTTGTTTAATAACAAACCGATCATGTAAAACTGTTTGATTTGGAAGCTGGAAATAGTTATTTGATGGTATGAATTTGACAAAATTGCCATAATTTTAGGTTTTCTTTTTTGTTCTAATGAGGGGAACATTTCTAATTATGCATTATAATATATATATATTATATATGTATATATAATTATAAATATTTTCCCTCTGGGATTATCAAAGTATTTCTGATTCTGATTCTGATTAGATAGTTTATGTAATCAATACAACTCCAACCACATTAAATGAACCCGTTAAAACGTGGAGGTTTCTGAAATGTTCTAGGAGCAGTTGTTAACTCACTAAATGGGCCTTAATGACAGACCGATTCTTTTAATGAATGATTTTTATGTTTGTGTGTCAACAGGTTTGACCTGTCGGACAAAGATAACTTCTTTGACAGCAAAACCAGGAGTTCCATAGTGAGTAAAACTGGACCAAAGATCCGTTCCCGACTGCTTTTTAACACACCACTATCTATCTAACAGATGTTTAGGTAAGGAACTTGATTCATTTGGTTTGGCCCTAAAACATTTTCAAACCCTTGTCAAGATCCAGGTTCGGAGACAGAACGCAGGAATAAAGTGATAAATGGTCCTTAAGGATTCAGTCTCCTGAGGAGAGATTCAACCGGCTATGACTGGTTATTATATTTCAGAATCTCTCCACAGAGAGACGGCAAGGCTACGAAAAGTAGAACAAAACTCACTCCAAAAAGCGGAGGGTTTCAAGGCTATTATTCATCATCACAACAATAAACTCTTCTTTAACGGAGGCAAGCTAGAACTATGAAAATTTACCTAGAAACCCAAGTCTAGTGATGATGTGACACAGGGGAAGAGCAAGAAACAGAAACCAGGAACAAGAAGAGAGTTACCTTTTCACAATAAAACAAGAAAATCATAAGACCAACAACAAACTTTTTTGTTCTTTTGAAGTTGAATGCCTAATTCAGATGTTTCATCACATTAATATATGTGAACATGTATGTTAAGTTCGGGGCACCAGTTTCCAAACCTAGAGTCTAATCAGCAAAAGAAAGTTAGAGGTTTGGTTTATATGCGAGCCACACTGAATGAAAAAAACATCCTCTCTACTATTCACTAAATGGGACATTTCAAAGGATTTTCCTGCATTACTAAAAGTGTCTATTAATGACTCCTAAAGCACCAATAACACAGAACAAGACACAACACCTGAGATAAACCTGAGAAAAACAGCTGAAGACCTTTCACTGGTCTCATTATTTTTATCAATCCACTTATTTCCAATGTCAGCTAAACCTCGGTTTGTTTCCCAAAAAACAGCTATTCTGACAACTTTGTTCAACTTCTCTCCTCTCCCTGATTACAGAATAGACCTCTCCAAACTCTGTAGTTATCATTGCAAATAACTGCTTGACCACACTGTCTTAACCCGTGTGGTTAAACTATGGTTTGTCCTTTTACAGGTGTTTGAAATACTGAAAAGAACAAAGTGCAAAGCCAAGTACAGCATGGGTGAGTGGGACTGTTTCTCCTGTTTGTCTGTAACACATGGAACTGTTTCAGTTAGTATTGTTTGTGAATATAAAATGTTCCCAACTTACTCTTTGATAGCCATTTTATGGACTGAATGCCCCAGATTCTCCGAATGCCATACTTATAAGAGTGGGTATATAACATGGATGGGTGGGTATTGTTGGGTATTGTAAAGTTCAATTACATGAATTGAATTTTATTTCTATAGCTCCAAATCCCAAAAGCAGTTATCTCCCAGCTTTCCAAACAGAGCAGCTCAGACTGACTCTGAGTTATTTCCAGAAGAACAACAACTCCCACCAAGGGCAGCACTAGGCGACACAGGGAAGGAACAACTTCCTTTAGGGGGAAGAAACCTGGAGCAGAACCATGGCTCAGGATGATACTAATGATAATGATAGCAGTAATAACAGCAATAAGACTATGAAAAAGCGATTGGGGGGGGTGGGGCAGCAGGAGACTCCCAACCAAAGATCCAGGAACACCTGGAGGAGGTGATGGAGGAGAGAGGAGAGGAAGGAGAAAGCACAGGACTACGGGAAAGGGAGAGAGTCCAGTTAGTGACATCATTAATGGAATGAAGGAGAGAGAGAAAGGAGAGGGGAGAGGTGCATCATGGGAAATCCCCTGGCAGTCTGGGCCTATAGCAGCATAACTAGGGCTGTACTCACCCTAACTATAAGCTCTATCATAAAGAAAAGTCTTAAACCTGCTCTTAAATATAGAGACGGGTTCTGCCTCCAGACCCAAACTGGAACCTGGTTCCTCAGAAAAGGACTCTGATAGCTGAATGCTCTGTTGGATGACAGAAAGACAGAATCAGAAAACAAATCTTTCCCACTGTGTCACGACCACTGGTCCAGGCAACAGAGAACCCAAAAGCAGGACAAGGCAAACAGGCAAATAGTGAGGGAAAAAATAACTTTACTCAGTCCAAAAACAGGCAGGGTCAAAACCAGGAGATCAGTTGTAGAGGCAAACAAATCTGACAAGGGGCAGGTATCCAAAATCCAAGAAGGCAAAGGTGAGGTCAGAACAGGCAGAACGAGAGAATGCTGGAAAGCTTGGAATGAAACAACACAAGACAATCTGGCAGGGGACAAAGTGGAAAGGGAGTGGTATAAATACTGAAAACCAAATGCTGATGAACAGCAGGTGAGGAGATGGGCGGAGAGAAGCAGGTGAGGGGGAATGAGTAATTACATGACAGGGATGGTCGGATCTGAAATAACAGGAGAGTTAGTGATGAAAACAAAAACAAACTTGATTCCAGAGTAACTACGTTACACACTGTTTAGTATTTGGATTGCTGAAACGAAGGAGTTCTCATCACTCAGCTATTATCCAGTACTTTATGAAACTAAACTCAATA